AACCCCCAACTGCTCCCCGGGCACCGCAGCATAAATGGCTGCCCACTGCTCCGGGTGTGTGTTCACGGTGTGTGTGTGTTCACTGCTGTGTGTGTGCACTTAGGATGGGTTAAATGCAGAGCACTAATTCCTAGTATGGGTAACCATACTTGGCCACATGTCACGTCACTTTCACTGTCACTTTCACTTTAAATTGTAAAAATATTTCACCCTGTTAATGTGGATGTTACATTTAGCTGCTTTCTCTACTTCCTTCAAATATCAGCATTAAACATGTTTATGATCGTGTTTTCTCTTCCATCGCTCACCTGGGTAAGCAAGACAAACTGAGCAAACTGCCACGGCAGCATGAAGAAAATATTGGAGATCCCCAGAGCCATCATGGTATTCTTGCTTGGGTTCCTTGTCCTTACAAAATATCCAACAAAATACATTTTAATTGCACAGAATAACCCAACGTAGTGTGTATAATCATAAACAATGTACACATAAGCCGCCTAAATACACAAAACATTGCTTAAATGTGTCCGGTGACCACATGATACTTAAAAGATTTAAGTCATCTCAAAGTATGTACAAAAAGAATGAACATGTGTATGAAAGGTTGAATATAAACATTAAATTGCTATGACTTGGGTTGCAAACTTAGGGAAGAAAGCAAGTTACCGGAGGATGTAAGTGAGCAGAAGCATCTGCAGAACCAGGAAGGGGTAGGAGAAGCTCTCTCTCAGAGGCGGTGTCCACATGACCCGAGTACTCTGGGATTCAAGGGTTCAAAAGAGAGACAAAATTCTTTAAGTACTAGAAGACTGTAGCTAAAGAAAAAAAAATCTCCAAGATGCTTAAGAAAACAATCTGCTTTACCTCTCCATGATTAAAGAAGAAACACAGAACTGTAACAGTGCCACCCAGTCGACTGCCACTATAAGAACAGCCAAAAAATTAAGTTTGTTATGATCTAACTTTTGAAATGAAGCTTTTAGGATCAACCCATTTGCAATCAATGTATAAACTCAAAGTTGCACTTTCTTTGGTATCGATTAAAGGACTCTTCCTCTGAGATGTTTATTCTAGGCTGGATTACCTCAGATACGTTCCATAAATGAAGAAGAGACTCATCATTGCCCCATTTAACAGGAACACAAATGTGACATAAAAGTAAGCAGGATCCCCCAGACCTGTGGAAAAGCCACTCAAGTAAGTAAAATATCTGTGAAATGAAGAACACTTGGCTATCAGTCACACAGTGAATGAAACAGCATTTTTTTTTCTCCACTGTACTGCAAATGCTCTAAAATTAAACAACAAATAAATGTGTGGGCCAAACAATGGATACTTATTTGATGTTTGGCTTCTCCAATACCTTCACAACTCTCCACTGGATCTAGACCCTCCCCTCTGTTGATGGTCCAACACATCTTGGTAGGGATCCCAAAAAAATCCATTGTGCTAGTGTATGCTCTGTACCAGCTGGCCAAGACCACCTGCAGTAAAAGAGAGCAAAAAAAGATGGTTAACTTCAGAGCTCAATCAAACAGTGTGGAAGAAAGAGATTTCACTGATATTCAGAAGATGCCAAAGAGGCCATCTCACCTCAGGGTACAAGTTAAACCTCTTTAGAGTGTTTATCACCAGAGGATATTCAGTGAGACGATCGTTCATGATCATATAAAGACCGTCCATGAAAGTAGGAGCCTTAATGATGGTCTTGAAGTATGAGTAATACAGTCCCTTAACAGACAAAATAGCATATGTGAGAAAATCACCACTGTGAGACGATTATCTAAATCAGCAAGATGTCAATTAAAGTTCAAGCTTAGTATTTAACAAAATGAGTTGCAAGGTGAAGGGCTATATATGGAGTAAACTCAGGATAATAACAAAATAATAGCAAAAAGTCTCCCAATTTACCCTCTCTGGACAGACACAGTAAATTATGTAGTAATTATATTGGGGGGGGGGAAAAAAGCAATAATAACCATCTCTGTTCGAAAGGCCATCTCCTTTTCCAAAGACGACATGTGTGAAAAATGCCTGTCATTTTCAAACAGATGTGAGAGATGATACCTGAGAAACACAGGATAGTTTATTTAGTCACAATAAGAGGAACATCATGTTCATGTCTTAAAGATCTAAAGCTACTTACCAGTGTAAAAATCCCACAGTAAGAGCTGTGGAAATAAACACATCAGGTTAGGTGACTTTGCCCAGAGACAGATCGCTACGTGGCCACACTGAAGGACTCTTATCTGACCATACAGAACGAGTCTCTATTAGAAGAGTCGCCTACTTTAAAACAGACGAATAATTCTGATAAATTATTTTAATCAATTAACGTCTGTGGATAGTTTACTGACAAACCATAAAATGCGTTAGTGTATGGTAATCATTGGCTAATAACTGGAGTGAAATGAACGAAATTCGATTGGTTGCTAACTACAGTTAACATGCGAGCATTCACCAAAAACCTGAAGATTATGAAGGTCATTTGGAGTTGTCAAGGAATAAAATCGATAAAGGAAATATGAGCTCTACACAACTTTGTTGTTTACAAGCGAGTTTCTATAATACTGATACTGAGAACATGCTAAATGCTAATCATGTGAATAACCGTTAGCTACCTAGCGGCTAAGAAACAAAGCCTTACCGAGAACCAACACTGATACTCCTCTTGCAAAAGCGGACGGGCTCAACCCTAATTTGCTTCTAATGAACCCTGCAAAATATCCGTTTTTACTCTGGGAAGCCGAGCCCTTCCCATCTTTGGCACGCTTGCTTTTCCCCAACGCGGACTGACTCCTGTCCTTCTCGCCGCTCTGGTCCTTGGCATTTGATTTTCTGGTTTTAACTACCATGTTTTCATATTTCTGTCTGTAACAGGGGAGCGACAGGAGCGTAGATACGCGATAAAAACCAGCTGTTTGACTCTTCCGAGCGCCTCACATCTGTGGTCCTGCACAGTTTGAGTGCTGTGGGACTTCACTGATCTGTTGAATGAAGCGGCCATCGCCCCCGTCTGGACGCGGCGCTCAACTGTCCGGTTGACGAGTAACCATGACAACGTGTTTAACTAGCCCGTTACCATGTTAAAGAACTTCTGTAACCGCGAAAAAGAATACCTGTCGATGACCATGATGACGCTTTAAATAATTTTCACATACATAAACTGGTATATTATAGGGAATCGTAAGGATTTGAATGATTCATTACGGTTCCTTAACACTTCCATTCACGAATCTTTTAGTCTTTTTGAGAACTATATAAAGAAATGAAGAAATTAAATTACTATTGCATTTAATACATTCTTCAGCCTTTTACCAAATAATATCGTTCGCCAAAAGCAGGTTTACATAGACGTTTAAAGAGATTTTAAAAACTTTTTATAGGCTGTATAAAAGTAATCCAATAATTGGCCCTAACTATATATTAAATAAATACTAAACAAACAATAAATGGCTGAATTCGGAATAGCATTCTATCTTACTAATCTTACTATTTTTTCCATATAAAAATATGATAGGAGAATACGAATTCATTAACTCATTCATTAAAGAACTGGATCAAAAGAGTCGTCATCAGTTCGAAAATCGAACTACACAAGTGGTCGCGCTGTCGATTTTTGGATTCACTCAAATGAACCGGCTCATACAAGTCATTCGTTCCTGAATCGGACTATAGTGTTCGCGTTGCATGTTTCGATTCACTAAAAAGATCCACCTCATTAGAGTCATTTGTTCGGGAATCAGAATACTGCCTCTTCTACGAAGCCATGTGTTCAGATGAGAGCAACCGCATGATGTCGCTGTGAGCCTGACGACCGTAACACACTTTTGAAAGTAGGCTATACAAGTCATTTATATAATAGGAATTTATAGTTAACTTGTTGATACGTTGATATATATATATATATATATATACATACACACACATAAAATGTGTGTATTTTAATTAATTAAAAATAAATGGCCAAATGAAACCAAATGGCACCTGTAAACAAATGATTAGACATTTTCTCAGAGCTAAATGTACTTTTATAAGCCATTTTACAATTACAAAAACATAAATGCATTTTAAGTGTGCAACTTTAATTGTCTCAATACGTTTTGGTGCAACTGTAAGTTTTACTAATCATGCTTATATATATATATATATATATA